TTTAATTGCATTTTGCACGTGTGTGGGGTTAGCCATATTTATGGGGTCACAACAAAATATTAATGAGTACCAACTCACTCATTTATGTTAATCTAATTTTTCTTTTAACTTTTTCCTTTATTAACAATACAATCCTTTCGTATTTAATTTTCTTTTTCTTTTTCTTACCTAGAACACACACCGAAGTATTGGAAGTATTGTGCATCCAAGGAAAATTAGAACACGCACACGTATCGAATAAAATACACATAATATTACATCAATAAACATAGACGGCATCCAAGGGCTTTCATTATATTGCCAGATTTTTAATTTATATATTACGTACTAATTATCACAAACGCTATCATAGGCTACGATAGCATTTTGCAAACGCTATGGATGGCAGTATGTGGTGTAGTCCCAAGAGCTCTTATATAATAATCCCCATTCATATAAATAAAATCTTTTTCTTTCTAACATATAATTAAATACAAACTCTCGATTCACCACCAAATTAAAGTAAACAAATATACGTCAGTTTCTTGTTTAAGTTATTCTGTTATTTCATATAGTTTTTCAGTATTTACGTCAGTGCTAATGAATTCTACAGACGTGGAATATAATTTAAAATAAAAAAAATTGTGGTTATGATACGGCTTCAACCAAATTAAAGAATTTCTAACAAAAATCTTATATATCATAAGCAAGGAATGTTTATTTATGTTTTCTCTTCATTCTTTACTATGTAAATTCAACAAATTGCTACCGAAAGTTTAATCAAATCTCAACTCATATCTGTTGAAAATAAGTTCCTATTTTTGTTGATATTCTCCTAAATGTTTTGAGGTTTTCAGCTTGCTTCTAATGACTCTGATATATATGAAAAGGCGGCGACTATATGCAATCCCAAAATTTACTTAGGGCAAGACCAAATTAAATTTTATACCAAATTAAGTGTAAAAAACTATAATGACCTTAGTAAAATACAAAAAAAGAAATAAAACTTAATTCTATCAATTACTCTTGCAGGACCAAATTAAAAAAAAACACACACAATTGAAAAACGGGAGGGAGGGAAGAAGAGGACCACTTGCATATTCGCAGCCGTCACCGATGAAATCGACCACCGCCTTGTAAAATTTCGACACACTGGTGTCAAATTTTTCACTAAATTTCGACAATAAGTTGTTGTTGATTATTTGCACTTTTTTCGACATTTGTGTGTCGATATTTTGTTCAAAATTCGACATCAATGTGTCGATTTTTAGCAATTAATACAACATGTTGGCATCGATTTTTTCAGAAAATGAAAAATTCGACTCTATAATGTCATTTTTATAGCTAAATATCGGCCAGTAAACGTCGATTTTTTGTGTACGGGGAATTATTTTCGAAAAACGAGAAAAACGATCACAAAGCTTAAAAAATACAATATTTCTTATCCCATTGTGTTCTTCGATCTTAGAATCATCCATATTGATGTTTTGTGTGTCCGTAATGTCCTCATTTGCAAGGTTTAGTAAGATTTGAAGGTTTTGTTTGATGAGGGTTTTTTGAGAATATGAAAGAGTTTTTTGGAGAAAATGTGTAGAATACGTGTGAAGAAGAGGAGGTTGGGTTTTGTTGGTGAAATGAGTTCCCTCTTGTTTTTCATTTTTTTTGGTCTTGCAATAGCAATTAGGCCTAACTTTAATTAATAATATCGAAATTAAAATTGGGGTTATATTTGTAATTTTCAGTCTTGCTCTTAGTAAATTTATTTATATTTTGGTCTTGCATCAAGTAAGTTCTTGCCTTTAGAAATTTTGAGATTGCAAATATTGGTTGCCATATAAAAATTGGTCTAGACAATTCATTAAATTGGACAAATATTTAAAAAGTTCACCCACATTTATTATATATGAATGTGCATTTGAGAAAATTGAAAAGCTAGATTTAAAAAACTATGGTACTCCAAACTTCAACCAAATTGAAAATTTATAAGTAAGCAAGGAATGTTTATTTCTGTTTTCTCTTCATTCTTCATTACGTAAATTCAACAAATTGCTAGCGAAAGCTTAACCCAATTTCAACTCATATATGTTGAAAATACGTTCTTATTTCTGTTGATGTCCGCCTAAATGTTTGAGGTTTCTTGCTTGCATCTAATGACTCGACATACATGAAAATTGTTTTACACAATTGATTCAATTGGAAAAATATTTGAAAAGTTCACCCATATTTACTCTGTTTTAATGTGCATTTGAGAAAATTGAAAAGTTAGATTTAAAAAATTATGGATTTCGAAAGAAAAAATATGCAACAAAGAAGAGGTTGCGAGGAATAATAAAAGGGGTTTTTGTGCATAAGTCCCAACCAGGCATCTTTATTATTCTAGGTTTAGGGGCTATATCTCTTTCACCAATAAGCTCATCCCTTTAATATTTATTATAAATAAAGTAAACATTCATGTATATGCCAATATTACCCTCAACCCTTTATACCCAATTCTTAATTGAACCTCAATTTAATCAAATTTGTCCACAAAAATCCAATTTTGACCACAAAAATATTATTTTGACTTTTTTTTATCAAAAACTTCTTTTTTTTTTCAAAAAATATTTTTTTGCCGCCGGTCTCCGGCATTGACTTTTCAAAATTGGAGCATACTATAATATGCTCCAATTTCATCCTTAACTTAATTTAACCTCAATATAATTTGACCCCAAATTTCACATATTATTCAATTTTGACCCAATTTTTTTTTTCAGAAATTTTTTTTTGCCGCCGTATTCCGGAGTTGACTTTTAAAAAAAAAATCTTTTGGATTTTTTCGCCGGTTTCCGGCGTTGACTTTGTTTTTTTCTTTTTTCTTTTCTTTTCTTTCGGATTTTTTCGCCAGTTTCCGGCGTTGACTTTTTTTAGTGTTTTTTTAAGTTTTTTTTTTTTTTACGTCCGCCGCTAAATGTTGATCGTAATTGTGCTGTCACTGACAGTAAATTAACGTAATTATACTGTCCATAACAGTTAATTAACGTAATTGTACTGCCGTTGACAATACATTTATGTAATTGTTCTGCCGTTGAGAGTACATTAACGTAATATTATTATTTTTTATTTTTGTTATTTTTTTACTTTTTTGATTTGTTGACAAGTCAACGTAATTATATTACTGTCGTTGACAGTAAAATAACAGTAAACACAATAATATTACTGTCAACAACATCAATATTATTATTATTTTTTTGGGTTTTTTGTTTTGTTTGAGTTATTCACGGAGTAACGTAATAATATTACTGGCTATTATTGTAATATTACTGTAAACACAATAATATTACGGTGGTTGACGGTAATATTACTGTTGTTATAGTAATATTGTTGTCAACCACATCAATATTATTATTTTGTTTGGATTTTTTTGTTTGTTTGAGTTATTCACGGAGTAACGTAATAATATTACTGTCTATTATTGTAATATTACTGTGGTTGACGCTAATATTATTGTTGTTACAGTAATATTACTGTCACTCACAGTAATATTAATTCTTTTGGCTTTTTATTATGTTTACATTTGTTGAACGGTCAACATAGTAATATTACTCAATACACAATAATAATGAGTTTTGTTGTGTTAATATTACTGTCCTAGAGATTAATATAGCAATATTACTGTGTTAAACTGTAGTTTAGTTAATTTTACTGTGTTTAACAGTAATATAGTTTATATTACTGTCAATCACAGCAATATTGTTGTTTAAACGAAAAAAAAAAAGTTACAGAAAGAAAGAAAATAAAAAAAAATCGAAAAAGTCAACGTCGGAAACTGGCGAAAAAATACGGCAGAAAAAAAATTGAAAAATCCGGCAAAAAAAGTCAACGTCGGAAAATTTTGTTTTTTTGAAAAAAAAAAATTCGAAAAAAAAAGTTTTGGGTAAAAATTGAATCATTTGTGAAATTTGAGGTCAAATTGAGGTTAAATTAAGTTAAGGATGAAATTGAAGCATATTAAAGTATGAGGTGTTATTTTAGTCATTTACAAAAATCTCGACCATGTGTGGACTTATTGGTAAAAAAGTTTTTTATCTGGATATCTTTATAAATAAGTACCCATTGATGGGCTTATTTGTAATGACCGTTAATACAAATTGGATATTGATGATGCTAAATAATAAATACTATAGTGGTGGAACTGAATAATATGGTACGTATAATTTTAATATCTAAGGTTATTTTGGATATTTATTGCTTCTCTTAGATATAGCCCCAAAGCAATATAATAATAGGGACATGTAAGATCTCATTTTTTCTAATAAACAAAAGTCCTACTCCTTGAATAATTCTAAATACTGCTATTTCCTTCACCTTATATCTCAACGATTGTCATCTTCAACACAAAATTGGTCAAGTCTGGCTACTCCGTCCCGCGCGCTCCACTAAAGGCGTCTTCTCCAGAATCACCATCGTTTTCCTTCCATCGAATTAGTCTTATTTTGGCTAATCTTATTTTAGCAACCAAACGAAAGTGTGATCAACTACAGGAGCACAAATAGTCTAATAATAAAACAACTATATTTTCTTATAATCTACTTCCTCTGTTCCTAAATAAGTGTCTCTTTTCACTTTTCACAAAGATTAAGAAACTCAATAAATATATCTTGAGTTTAGAAAAATCATATGTAAATGACTAAAACAACCTTTATTATTTAATGATTTATAAAAGAAAAATAATGTTTAGAGTTTCATTAATAAGGTTAAATAGGAAAATGCATTTAATGCAGTATTGGAAATCTAAAGTGACAGATAATATGGAACAAAAATATTTTAAAAATAGACAGTTATTGTGGAACAGAGAGAGTATTTTTTTATGTCTAATATTCGATTTAATATTTTGGTCAACAATATTATTCTTATAGTCTATTAATAAAACAACTACACAACAAAGTAGTTGATTTGCGTCCAGTTTGATCTAAAATTTCACCAAAACCAAATGGATGGGGGGCTTATCACTAACTTTTCAAACGGTTAGGGTGGAATAATTAACAACAAAACACAACATATATGATTTCGGACAAAGGTAAACAAATTATTTATGTCTTGAAAATGCAACAAGCAAATCAACTCATCATGTATGGCTACACATCAAATTACAGACTCAACAGCAATCATAATATATACACATGCAAAAAACATGAAAAATCTAAATGCCACAAACTGTAACTAATTTAACTCCCTACTCCCAACACAATATTTGCAATTTGCCTATCCCCTATCAACTCACAATAATCATATGGTACAAACTAAATCATCACGAAACCTCGTTTCTTTTTCAAGTGTGTGTGTCAGCCAGCCGCCTTTTAACCTTTCGTTCACTAATAAATTCAGCTTTGAGGAGGAGACTCGGGCTCGGAACCATAAACCGAGGAAAATGAAATGGTATCTTCTTTTGGAATTGCGACAAAGTTTAAAGGAGCGGTCGAAAGTCTTCTCATTTCTTTGAAATATCCGTTTTGTCGGCCGGAATAAGAGCGCGGTGTGAGCAGCTCTGGAGTTGAACACCCGACTGAGTTCCTACGGGGCGAGGGAGTCACCGACCCGTTTCCATACGACCCGTATCCATTTGGCTTCCTAAAACTGTTGCTTCTCCTCGGACTTGGCTTTGATCCATACATAGATTCTTTCTCCGTAAGCAGCATATCTTGGAGTTTCTTTTGGTCCTAAAATCAAAAAAAGATCGAAATACCACAAGAACATAACTACTGTAAGAACAATTGTTTTAATGGTTATAAATTACAAATAAAAAAAAAACACAGATAAAAGATAAAGTAGAAATTACCCTAGCTCGTTTCTTCTCTCCTTCCTTGTGATGTCTAGCTCGTTTGTAGTCCTCTAGTATTGACACCAAGCGCACCTGCATGCAAATAAAACGATCAGAGCATTATTACAAGAGTACTCGATACTTGCATACGTATTCTAAAAATAAATTTAAATAACTCACCCCATCATAGAGAAAAAGTTTACGTTTCTCTTCCTCCCACGCTAACGTCTTGCTAATTAAACTATCCACCATCGCTGTAAAAATCACAGCTTGTTATAATTTCCATGAATTAGGGTTTATTGCACTCGGTTCCCCTGGTGTTATGTCCAATTGCTAAAATAATAACCGCATGTTATTTTATCAGCAACCCCCCCCCCCCCCCCCCCCTATGATTCAATTGTTTTAAAAAAATTAAATCCTAGGGGTGTTTTTGCCAAAAAAAAAACATGGGTAGTATTTTTAGCAATTCGATATAACACAGGGGTACTAATTGCAATAAACTCCCAAAAATTATGACCAGCTCATGCAAAAGTAAATTTCATTAAAGGGTCCCAAAAAAAAATGGACCTGGGAACTTGTTTACGGGAATTCTAGCTCGCTCCCCACGCTTTAGGTTACTGTGCGCACCTCTTCCAACACTGTAACGGTTCTCATCCTGGAAAATCAATAAACATAAATTATTAAATGCTATAATTTTTAAGTAAATTAGCTTTTCATTATGCGATTTTTTTTAGGCTTACGTGATTATAATCTTCGAGCCACTTTTCCTCGTCACAAGCAGAAAGCCAGCGGTCTATCTTATCCATTATTTCTTTACGGCTCAAAGCTTCATCTTTGGCTTTATATATTTGCGCCTCAACGCTTGCTAAAAGTTCACATGGATCCACCAAACCTGCCAAAAAAAAAATAATAGCTTCTTTATTTTTCTTTTTTTTTTCTTTTTTTTTAAATAAACGGGGCTTCAAAGACATAATTAATTACCGGAGTCTATCATAGCATTTGTGTTATCATCGGCTGTGTTTGGATCAGGTTGAATATGAGTTTTCGAGCATATATCTTCCAACTCCGACCTCTTCTTCACAACAAGTTCCTTCATTCGGCTTGCTTTCAATTTCGTAAGCCTTTCAACCTCTACTGACACCTGCCATTGGATTTTATATTTCATATTACTTTTGTGAAAAAGAACAGATAAATAAATTATATGTATTCCGAAAAAATACCTTTTCAATGACATTCAGTGAAAGAGCGCCTTGTTGGACGATTTCCGATTCTGATGAACTAACAACCGACGTAATTCTCAAAAACGAGAGCTTCTCTTCTTTTTGTACGTCCATCAAGTTCCATAGTTCGAATAGTGACCCAACTGTGTCTTTAAGCTGCAGAAATAATATATATCATAAGCAAGAATTTGAAACATCTAATACGAAAATTCCGGGTTTATTGCACTCCGGTCCCCTGTGTTATGTCGAATTGCTAAAATACCACCCCATGTTATTTTATTGACAAAAACCCCCTTGAGATTTATTTTTTTTAGCAGAAAACACCCTAAACAACGGTACTAATTGCTAAAACAAATTTAAATCTTAAGGGGTACCAATTGCAATAAACTCATAAAATTACTCTAGTGGTAAAAACAATACCTTTTGAAACCGAAACTTTTTCTCTGCTTTTAGCCTAAGAATAGCTTGATCGAGCCCCTCTAATGTGCTGTCGCTGATATTTGTGACATGCTCCATGCTCGACCCATGCAAGCTCGGATGAATATCGCTCACGGTTTTGCCAAAATCGACACTTAGGACACTGCTCAATGCATGCACTTCGTTCACATAATCCAAAACTTTCTGGACTCGTTCAGACTGCAAATCATAAAGTTTTTGACATTTTTTATTAAATTCGACTTATTTGTCGGCCAACTGTTTTCCAATACAGAACTTGACATACCTTTTCCTTTTGGAGGGCACGGAGATTTGATTGATATTCGACGAGCTTTCTTAGTGATAAGTCTTGTCCTTCGAGATTTAAGGCATTTACGGAACTAACAATGTTGCCGTATCCAGAAATCTCACCGTTTATCTTCTCGATTTGCGACTTAATATCTGCAAATTGCTTCATTCTTTCCTCTTTTTTAAGGTTTAAGTCATCCACTAATGGGGTTACCGAGGCCAGCTGTCCCTTCAAAGATTTTGCAGTCTTGTCCGAGTTGACCTGTCAAGTTGATATGGGTAATATCAGAGACCAAGTCCAACTGTCAAATGAAAGATCTTGCCGAGAAATATAATACTATTCATAAAAATCAATCCCTTAATCCATAGGCGTTTGTAATTTCTTACGCCTCGTTTGGTTGGCAATCATTTATTTCAATCATTTAAAGTATGATGATATGGCAATCTAATACCCAATATTATTTAAATAATTGATTATGTCATAAAGCAACTAAATTTACCAAACGATGCTGATACGTTTCATGTGTTCTTGAATTTGAAGATACGCAGCACCGCATTCTTACAAATATAACTACGTTGATCGGGAAATAATTCCAGCCCATCAAAGTCAACTTGGCAGTCGCAATTACCGAAACGTCGTAAAAACATACCACTATTTTGCTTAGAAACTAAAGTGTATACGTGTTCTTTTCGACATACTATGAGACAAAAGTGCAAAGAAAGTAAACAAAATAGCGAGCAACAACAGCTTTTCAGTGTCTTTCTTATGCACAAGACACGAAACTCAATTAAAGTATTTCCTAAAATTTATGAGGAAAATGGGAAGAACGAGACAATAGGACCATTTTCAAGATTCAACTTTTCTCTTTCCTTTTATGATTCCTTTAATGGTGGATTTATAATTTATATTCATTAACCAATCTACAATTTAACTTCAGAACTATCTAACCATACGAACAATTTAAGACTTCAATGCGCATCTTCGTATGCATTTGCAGACTCGCTTAAATCCAAAACTTCTCACTGAAATAAATGACTCAATATAGAACAGAAGAAAAATATCTAAGTACTCTACAAAGTATGTTAAATAATACAACAGTAGAAAGAACAGAGGAACGATTAGAAAAACTATAGAGCTCACGATTGTTTGAATTGCGAAAGAAAGTATAATTACCGAGGAATTAACATTGATTTCACCAAGAGTTGCCAAAAGCATTGCAATCTCAGCTTCCTTTGCAGCAATTGACTGATGAAGGCGAGCCTTTGCATTAGCAGCCTCGTCAACCTTTCTTCGATAAATTTCTAAGCATTCTTGTTCGATCTCCAATAACATCCGCTCTCTCTCAGCTTCACTCTCCCCAATGTCAATCCATATTTGCTGCTCAAATAAAACATATGTCTCACCTCAATATACTACAAAACTATAACATTCAAACACAAAATAAAATATGCAACTAGACCTTTTTCGGGTTTTTTTTTTTTTTGGAAAAAAACCCGTTAAACACGAAGAAAGCCCAATTTCGTGTAAAACATCACCATTTAATAGTCCGAATTTAATGGGGAAGGTTTCATAACACATTAAGTTAAGAAGAAAACATAGTGAAAAAAGAGATGAACTAATGAATATTGTAGATAAAACATTTACTGCAATCTCAACCAATCAATCAAGTTCTATACTGAAAAAATAAATATCTTGTAGATAATAGGGAAACAGAAACAAGAAACCACTTGAAATTAAACAAGAAGAAAACTGTTTCTTCTCCAAACACCATTTAAGCTAGAGAGAGAGAGAGAGAGAGAGAGAGAGAGAGAGAGAGAGAGAGACCTGAAGTTGTTTGAGCAGAGAATTACAAGTGTTGCTAGTTCGGACACTGCTCCCAAAAGCTGTCATCATTTCCACTAATTATTTGCAGCTTTCTTTGATTTTGTTTTTCTACTAAGCTCTCTGTCTCTCTCTCTCTCTATTTCTGAAATGTGCACGACTGAAGAGCAAAAAAAGGGCTTATCCTAAAGCTTAATTAACACCCTCAAGAAAGCAAAAAAGCAAAAGCTTTCACAGCAAAAAGAAAAAAGAAAAAGTGGAGTACGCACTAAAATTGTCTCTCCTCAACTTGAGAGTTAGACAAAGGGAGAAAGAAGCAGAAAAGAAAGACTAAAGCAAAGGAAGCACCATTTCTATCACTAAAACCCCATTCTCTCTTTCTCTCTCTAACAGATCTGGAGCAATCCCCATTCAAAAACAAGTATATATTTTTTTCAACGCAAATGGACACACAACCACCACCAACCCTCAAATGACAACAAACAAACTTGTGGGTTTTTTTGTTTTGTTGCTTCTTTTTTTCTTTAATTTAAAGAAATTGGACCAAGATGGAATTAGGTACTGTAGACAAAAGCCAAGAAGATTAATACATACATAGTGATGGTATAAAGGAACAGAAGGTAGGCACCAACTCAATGATTATGCAGCTGCAACAGCAACAGCAACAACAACTATTACAGTTTACTAATACTATAATATAATGCTTCCCTTTCAACAAATAATTCAAGGTTGTTTTCAGTCAGTGGTTGCGGCTAACTTGCGCCCAATGGTGTGGATCTGTGCACATTAGCATTGGGTTTTTGTTAGGGTACGCGCCACCATGTTTGTTTACTGAGTGAAAAGTGAAGTGGCTTGTATTTATTGCACAAGGGAATGATAATCAACGGCACTAATGCTATTCACACTCCTATTTTCACTGTAATAAGTCAACAACTGTCCGGTTTCCTCCTTCCTTTTTTCTTTTCTTTTATTCTTTTTTTCTACATATTATCATTAGAGCATCTTCCAACGTTATCACTATTTTTTCACCAAATCCTATTTTTTGTGGTGAAAAAATGGGTTTATCTCCCACCCTTAGCACACCATTCTATGATTTCACTACTTTTGGTGAAAAAAATGGTGTATTTAGTCTCCCACCAATTCCATCAGATTTTACACCAAATAATAAAATAATAATATTTCACCATTTTTCCTATTTACAGAGAATAGCATTTGGTTTGGTCTCCCATGGTATTTTACCAAATAGATCGCAAAACTATAAATTTAATGTTAATCATAATTTTAGTCTATTTTAATTTAAAAAAAATTGATTATAGATCCGATTATAAGTAAAAAAATTATTAATTATATAATCTTAAAATTGTGATAAATTTCAAAAAAACTATTGAAACATGAATGAAAATCAACGTAAATTATTATACATATAATAAAATCACACATAAACATAATTTCATAACTTAATGCATAAAAATATTACAACAAAATTAATAAAAATAATTTCATAACTTAATGCTAACTAAGTAGTTTATGTGTATTTCATTTATATAATTTGTCTTGTAATTTTTTTGTGACGTTATAATGTTATGTTTTAATTGTTTTTTGATAATAAATATATTTATTGTTTAAACATATAACTTATTAGAGCCAAACATATATTTATTTATTTAATAATAATAATAATAATAATAATAATAATAATAATAATAATAATAATAATAATAATAATAATAATAATAATAATAATAATAATAATAATAATAATAATAATAATAATAATAATAATAATAATAATAATAATAATAATAATAATAATAATAATAATAATAATAATAATAATAATAATTGTTATTATTATTATTATTATTATTATTATTATTATTTTCTATTAATATACTAATATATTTATATATTATCATATTCATTAATTAACACTAATATATTTTCTATAAATATGTTTATAAATTGGTAATCACATAAAATTAGTTAATATAATAATTTTATATGCTAATTATAAAATGGTGTTAATTACACCAAATCCTATTTTAATTTTTATATTTGATAAGAAAAATAGGATTTGGTGAAAAAAATAGTAAAATGGTGGAAGGGTGGGAGATGTAAATTTCTTCACCAAAAAATTTGGTGAAAATATAGGATTTGGTAATATGGTGATATAGGTTTTGACCACAATAGGAGACTAAAACCAAATCATCATAATTTAAGCTGTAATGGCGATTTAGTGATTTGTGCTGGGAGGTTAAAAACACCTAAATTAGGTGTAAAATATAGGAAATGGTGTAGGGTGGAAGATGCCCTTATAGTATTAGTTTACGGCATATCCCTATAGACGTCTCACAGCCACACTTAATTAAAATAATTCTTAATTAAAGTAGTGGTTAATAATTAGAGATTATTTTAGAGAACCTCGTATAAAACTAATTAGAACTAAATGACAAGCTCAACTAAATATTTGCTTCACATCATTTATAAAATTTATTCCGAAGATGCCCTTTCACTCATCTTTATTTTTTAAATTTTCACTCTAAACATTTCTACATTATTATAATCAGTTCTTTTTCCTTATTTTTTATATTTTATTGAAAATTATGGGGAAAAAAATTGTTAAATAATTCAGCAAATTTTAAATATACTATGGTGTACTATAATTTTTATACTATTATTAAAAAACAAATCCTACATTATACTGAAAATTACGAAAAAAAAAATTATTTTTTCGTTTTTGTTAATTCAAGCTACATATATTTTAATTTTTTTTTTAATTTATTTGTTGTCCATACTGTAGTATACCATGTAGACTATGTTATACTACAGTGTACTATATACGTCTACTACGGTGTACTACCAAACCCTAGCAGCCAACAACACCCAATTTCGCCAACCCTAGTCGTGTCTCTAGTCGTAAACACAGCAGCCGTCAAACCCTAG